GTCCCTGCCCATGGCAGGGGGTGGGACTGGATAATCTTTCAAGTCCCTTCCAACCCAAACCATTCTGGCATTCTATAATAAACAAATACACAGTGCTTTGAAGCTCTGGAAAGCTCATTCCAGCCCTTTGAGGTATTTTCTGCACTTTCCCAGGTTCTGGTTTCACAGACAATAACTCTTGGCTGCAGCAGAGCCCAGCTGAGCAGCACAAGGGAGAAGAGGAGGAGCCAATACTTTGCTGGTGTCCGGAGCAAGGCTTTGCTGTGCCTCTCTCAAGAGGAGGGAGCCAGACACATCCTCTGCTGCACAGTGAAAGTGAGAAGATAAAAGCAAGGCTCCCTGTGCCCCAGGCAGTACAAGTCTCCTGTCCCTGTCTAGCCGGCAGCAGCACTAATGTGACAAGCAAACATCAGGCTGGTGAGAAGGTCTGCTCCTACCCACCTCATCCCTCACCTCGCCTGCTCCCCGACCTCTCCGTGCCCCCTGCTGCCTTTGCCAGCAGGAATCCGGGACCGTGGCTATGAGGGAATTGTTTTGATTGAAGATGAGGGGGAAAAAAAATCCTCTTTTCTGGTGCTCTGCACATCCTGGGATCCGTCTCGCCTGCGCTCCATCACTCACGGATGAATTCCACAAGGTTTGTAACAGGATCAGGCTGGGCTCAGTCCAGTGCTAGGAGATCCCCAGCAGAGCAGGGCCATGGCCCATGTCCTTGCTTTGGACTGTGGTCACCTGTCCTTGAGCTCAGGGGCTCCTCCAAGTGCTGTCAGGACAGCCCTCCCCAAAAGAGCCTGCGTGGCTGGGACACAACCTGGGCTGTGACAGCCACCAAAATTCAAACCCTGCTGATGCCTGGGACAGAGGTGTGAGCTACACATCTTCCAGGCCAAGAGACCCAGAGGATCATGGAAGATGGAAAAAGACCTCCAAGTCCAACCTTTGACTGAATACCACCTTGTCCGCTAACCCGTATCACCATGTCGTGACATACTGCTGTAAAATGCCACCCAGAATAATAATGCAAATAATCATAACAACTTTTCTGGATCTATAGAGGGGGAGAAATCATCCTGATGGGTTTATTGGGACAGTGGATCAGTTTCCTTCACCACACACTCCTTGTATTCCCTCTGCAAGGGCCATTTGTGGCTCTCTGTGGCTCTGTCTGCAGCCAAGAGCCTCTGACATCAGCACTAATCCTCCCTCCTTATCCCCTGTGACAAGAGTTGCTCACAAAAGGGACAGATTCCCAAGAGCCTGGATGTTCTTTCCCCCACCACTGGGAGGTCTTGAATTTGTCTTTGGATACTCCAGAGCCCAAGGCTTCTTCCTCCCTCCTCAGGTCACAGCAGCCAGTTACCTGGAAATGCCCTTCCCACTGCTATTAACTCATCCCTGCCCATGGAGCCCTTTCCTTCAGCTCTCCCAGGACACTCAGCCTGTCCACAGTGTGGATGGAGCCTGCAAATCCTCACAGCACCAATGAAACAGAGAAATTAAGAATTAGGAATCACCAAGACTCTTCCCCACCCCTCCCCAAAGAAAGGCCACGAATTAGTAGTCAAGGGGCTGCCAGCATGAGCTGGTGCCTGGCATGGCTCTCAATTAATCAAGTGTCATTATCTGGAGCCCCGGGCCAGGCTCAGCTCCTTGACCCCTTAGGATGCTGGCATGGCTCTCAGCCACCCTCTTGGCACAGATCATTTGTTGAAGAATGGCTGGGAAAAGGCTTTTGGTGGCACCCAGGCTCTGGCAGGGTCCCTTCAGACAGGACTGTGGCACATGGAGAGTCCTGGATTTCACTCCTGAAGGGACGCTGAGCTTTTGGGGGATGAGGTGCTGCAGGGTGTGAGAGGCAGGGGTGCAGGTGAGCTGGAGATGCAAAGTGTGGAGCTGGGGTTGAGGAGAGCCTGCTGAGGAGAGCAAACCCAGCCTGGGCTCAGAGGTGACAGGAGGTGCTGCCCGGGTAGGCAGCTGGATCATGTTTATGGGGATCCAGTTTGCTGGAAGGGGTCATGGCCATGGGATGATGGTCACCAAACCCTGTGCCACCCACCTGGCCACACTCAGGACCTTCCTTCCCTCTGGCTGCTCTAGGGGGGTTTTCTTACTCTCCCAGGAGATTTTTCCTGGGATCACAGAATGGTTTGGATTGCAAGGGACATAAAAGCTCATCACCGGCAGGACACCTCCCACTATCCCAGGGTGCTCCAAGCTCCATCCAATCTGATTTTGGGCAATTCCAGGGATTCAGGGGCAGCCACAGCTTCTCTGGGCACCCTGTGCCAGGGCCTCCTCACCCTCCCAGGGAAGAATTCCTTCCCAGTGTCTCATCTAACCCTGCTCTCTGGTACTGGGGAGTAATTCCACCCTGTCCTGCCCTTATAAAATGTGGGTGCTGAAGAACTGGTGACACCTGAAGGTTTTGGATGCTGCTGGTGATGGGGCATCACTCCTCAGTCCTGCAGCACAGAGGGTCCCCAGCGGTCACCCTGTGCCCCTGGGGAACCAGGGGGGTTTTCCTTGATTCCTGCAGGGCTGCAGGACCCCGAGGGGTGGTGGGCACTTTGCTTTGTCCAGCTGTGGCAGGAGCACAACCTCATCACACATCACACGATGGAGCCCCAGCTGGCTCCTCCATCCAGAGCCAAGGCATAGAGAGGGAGGCTCATCCTTCCTCTGCTCCCTCTCCTCTCCCCCAACACCCTCCATTCTCCTGTCCCAGCTCTGCCTTTGTGTCTGCAGCTCCTGTTACCAACTGCTAATGATCTACATCAAGGCTGCCAGGCGGTGCCTAGTGTAAGCAGAAGAATTCAGAGCCTCTAATTACAGAGGAATTAGCAAGCAGACAGTTAGTGTTTAGTGCTAATGAATAGATACATTAAGAGAGACATCACACAGGCTGAGAAGTGTGAGCCCTGATAATAAAGGAGTGTCAAACCAGGAAAACACAAGGAGGAGGATCCAGGGGACTGAAAAGGATTCGCCTTCGACTCAGCTCGCTGGTTTTGCTCAGGTGGGAGCCACGGGTGATAGATACATGAAGGCTCAAGCACAGCACAGAACTGCAAGTACGAAATATGAGCATCAAATTATTAATCCATAGTGCAGGACCACGGTGGGAGGGAGCAGAGCCTCTTCCCAGCTCCAGGTAGCATTACAGCTACCCCACCTCCATCAGGTAAAGACAGCTGGTCATCCAGACCCGTTCCCCTACCTCCCTGGGGGCAGACCTGTCCCTGCTTGGAGCCAAACCATGGCTCAGCCTGTGTCAGACCTGCCTTCAGGGCTTCAAAAGCACCCTGGTCCTGCTCCTGAGCTAACTCCAGATCAGAGGGCACCATCATGGTTCACCCAGACACTTCTGCAGGTTCCCTCTGTCCTCACACTCTGAAGTGATGCCCACCTGCCCTACTGCTATTTTCCCCGGCAGCCAGAACGTGCCAAATTCAGCCCTGGGGGTCAGGCAGTGTCCAGGGCAGTTCAGAGGGACCAGAATCTCTCCTGCTTCCAAGCAGGGCCGTGCCTCACTGGCATCCTTCCACCTCAATCCCATTAAGCCAAGCCCCGGCCTCAGCCCGTGCCCAGCTCCAGATGGCTTCCAGGTGGGCTGGGCAGGCAGCCCTTGGCCAGCAGCTCGGTGAGGCTCCCTGCCACCAGCACAGCTGCCAGGGACCCTCCTGGGAGCAGCACTACCAGCCACCCTGACCATCCCTCCCACAGCAAAGCCACCCTGGACAGAGCTGGACACCCCTGAGGGAACCCTCCCAGCTCTGCGCTTCAGCTGCTTCACCAAGTGACTGGAGCAGATTCCCAGACTGTCATCTCAAATATTCATCTCCCAGCCCCTCTTCTGTGCAGCTTTGCTTCCTCAGCCTGTCCTGGCTCTCTCTGCAGTCCAAGCAGGGATTGCAGCTCCTATAAGAGGATGCTGGAGCTGCCTCACCTTCCCTCCCTAGGAGCCAGGAGTGTGTCTGCAACACTCTGATGGCGCCTGCTACCATGCTGTGAGGCAACAGCCTCAGACCAGCCACCCCCAGATGCTGTGACACCAGGGGACACTGCCACAGACACCACACTCAGATGCTGTGACACCAGGGGACAGTGCCACAGACACCACCCCCAGATGCTGTGACACCAGGGGACAGTGCCACGAGCTGCTCTGCTGCCACCACAGGCAGGCACCCCCTCCTCATGTCACGCTCCAGCTTCTCACTGAAATAAGGGACATTTTCACACCCAGGCACTCACTCAGGAACTTCCAGAGCACTTCCACCACTGCCAACACCACGGAACAATCCACACCTCACCCCACTTGCCGTCCCCTGGCAGCCCACAGCCACCCTGTGCCGCCCTGAAAACTCAGCTTCTGAGCTTGCTGACATGGTTTTCTAAAGACTTTCCCAGGACAGTAACTGTAAACATAGATATGTGTACATTCTTTCTGTTACACGTCTTGTGACAGGCATCTCTCATGGCCAGTGCAGTGAGAAAGTGTTATCCTGACCATCCAATCCCTGGCTGTGGTCAGAAGCCTATAAATCCTGGGAGGAAAAATAAACTCTCTCTTTCTTTTCACCACACCTCGACCTGTGTGCGTGTGATCTATTCATCTTCAGCGGTAACAACCCTGCCTGCTGCCGGGCCCACGGCCACTCTTGGGCCCAGAGCCACCCTCGGGCCCAGAGCCACCCTCGGGCCCACAGCTACCCTCGGGCCCATGGCCACTCTGCCCACTGCTGGGCACACGGCCACCTTCAGGCCCAGAGCCACCCTTGGGCCCACAGCCACTCTGCCCACTGCCGGGCCCACAGCCACCCTCGGGCCCATGGCCACCCTCAGGGCCACAGGCACCCTCGCGCCCACAGGCCACCCTGCCTGCTGCCGGGCCCACAGCCACCCTTCAGCCCACCGCCACTCGTGGGCCGCC